CTACATTCTGCGGATAATCTTTGGTCGGCCTCATTTCGCATTGTTGGTCGAACTTTACGTATGGGGCGCCGGTTTCTCCTACTAATGGCATAGCTATTTATTCCGGGTATGACCTAGTCTCATTGTTCTTGTTACTATCCCTTTTCCCGATTGGTGATTCATCACAGTCACGATCTGGCTTTTGTGAAGAACTGGTAAGTCTCTTGCAACATAGTCGTAATAATATTTTTGTTTTGCCTAGCGTGCACGTAACCTTTCAGAGATCTTATTTTTTCATATGCAGTGTCCATGATCTTTACTGACAGATTTTCTTATCATTTTATTAGATAGTAGATCTGCTGGGCTTCATCCTATATCTGATACTCTTTGTATTTCTTCATGGTATTTTTGCAGTTTCTATATTTATTCCAGCAAACTGTACTAGACATGTTTCGGTAAGGAGGTGATGTGGTCAAATTCCCAGTCTATGGCAAACTGTCTAAAATCATAACTGTTAAAGTAAACTGAAGGTCATTATCGCTAACCATATGTTCTGGTATCCAACGTTCTACAAATATTGACGTTAGGGTAGGGAGTTTCAATACTTAGCTATAAAAGAGTATACCCTGATTAAAAAAGGCCTCAAATTTGATACACAATTTTTTATCGTTTAAATGTTTATGTTATTATTAAGAGGGAAGACCATAATATTTTTTTAATATTTTTTTACATTTTTTAATCCTTCCGAACACGCCTTAAATTTTAGTTAAAAATCTTTCTTTTTTTTGTCAGCAAAATTGCCATAAAATCGATCATTTGATCCCTTTTTGACAACTTTGTAAACAAAAGTGAAATTTTCTGTTTAAAAATCATGTATACAATTTTGAAAAGTTATTTTAGGAAAATTAGAAAATTTAACGTTTACTTAATGTAATTGAAAACAAAGTTACTTACTTTAATTTTTTTAGCAGAAAAAATTTAGTTGAAAATAAAAGAAGTATGTCTAATCCTGGTGATTGGTTTTTGAGGTGTGAATTGATGTTTACGTCAATGTATCGACAACTAAAGTCAGGGCAATTTATCGGACAGGAGAACAGAAGTGGCAGTATTTTCAAATTTTAAGTGAACCACCTTATTTAAATATAAAGTATTTTTTTAAAAAATTAAATACTTTCAAGAGACTAATATTATATTGATTTTAGGTACTTTTTTCAACAAAGATATATCCAAAGACTGCACTGTTTACGTTCCTAAACATGAATCTAAAAAAGAAAATAATTAATAATTGCAGTATGTCTCTCACTGAAAAACAATAAATTAATTATATTTAAGAAATGAAATTAAAATATTTAATAGGGTGTAAAAAAAAGAAAATTAAAAACTTGAAAATGCGACGGTGATAGTCAGTCAAAGAATTTGATATGTCCTAGTCAGAAGGAAAGCAAAGCAATTTCTTAAGTCCTCTCTCTTAAAACGTGTGACCTATTATTTCTGAACCGTACATCCGTACATCCATAGTTTTGGAGAAAACAATTTTTGCATATTAAAAATATTTTTAAAATATTATCATGTCGCAGATTATAAGCTTTCAAATTTATGATCTGTAAAAATAGATATTTTAATAGCAGCATTTCCAAAAATACACGAATTCAAACTTGATTTTAAAATATTTGACAAATTTATCACATTTTGTATTCAAAATTGGAAAAAAAGTAAACAATTCTTGTAAAAATTCATTTTTCATTGGAAAAATATTGTGGTTTCAAACAATTGTCCTTAATATATATTATTCATAAAAGCCATTAAAAGCGTTTTTTTAATTAAATAATGTCATAGTTTTATTGGGTTTTGAGCTGAATTTTGAGTAATATCAGGTCGAAATTTCGGAAAACAATTTATGATTTATATACTTCAAAGTCTTCTGCTTTTAACTAATATAATCACAAAATTACACGGAAGTCGAATTTTCGAGTTTTCCTAAAACTAAGTAAGAGGAGGGGTAACAGATGTAAAAAAAATATTTTTACTATGACTTTCTAAAAAACAAACATTTCTAATATAATTTCATTAATTTTTGAATAAGTTCTGAAAGTTTCACTGAGATCCGACAATTATTTGATTTTTGCAAGAATTTCCAAATTAATGTATTTTTCAACTGAAAAAGGCACTAAAATATTTAACCAAAATTTTAAACATGATAGAAAAGATTAAAAAAATTTAAAATTAATTAAAATGCTTTGGTCTTTCCTCTTAATAATAACATGAACATTTTGACGATAAAACTTTGTTTTTATTAAGTTTGGGGCCTTTTTTCATCACGCTATGCTGTTTTTCGGCGAATTATTGAAGATACCTAGGGTGTTGTTGACGTCTTGGTTGATGCATGTATTGCGCATTTTGCGGATGAATGAGAATTTGCAGTAATAATCAGCTACCAATAAGTTCATTTCATCTGCCAGGTGAAAAAGATATGTTCCGATTACTTACTATAACCGGAAGGGGCCTCATGGGGCATTATCGCTTATTTTCTTCAATGTGCTTAGGTATTTCTGGCATGCAGAGCATTCTCTGACAATTATTTCAATGCCGGTGTTAATACATGACCAGCATATGCATGTTTTTTTTTCTAATGCTTTGATGTAATGCGTGTACTTTAGTAGGGATCTCAACCTTCCTGTTTCTGTGGACAATTATCCTGCCGCCTTTCAGTACCTCGGAATCCTCCAATGTTAATTCGTCTCTGAATGACCAGTATGACGTATCTTTTGGGATGTATCTTTTGCTTTGCATGGTTATCTAATGGTTAGTTGTTCTCAAAGATTTAGACGTTCTTAGAGTCTTCTTTCAGTTCTTCCAGTTTTTCTGTACGAACTGGATTCTTATCTCTAAGTTTACTGGGTCATAATTATCTTCGTTTGGTAACCTTGACAATAAGTCTGACACTAGCATCTCTTTACTAGGTTGATATTTAATAGTTGTAGTCCTATATATCCATTAGCATTCGCTGCAGCTTTTGCGCTGCTACTAATAGATCCTTCTAACTAATAATTTCCACGCGCTTGTGATGAAATTATTTCCCATACAAGTATGTGTGGAATTTCTAGATCCAAACATCACTGATAGCATCACCCGTTCAATATTTTGCATATCTTTGTTCAGCGTAGGTGAGTGGCTTGGGCGCGAAGACAACTGTTTTCCCATCTTGTACTGTTCCAAGCTTTCTGCTAGAGCCATCGACTTGGACGGTTGTTGGCTTTGTTGAGTATACCACGGTTACCTCTCTGCTAATTAAAGCCTTGATTTATTGGAAGGACTTCTCTGTGTTCATATGTGTTGCATTTTAAGAGGTCACCGAGTTCTACTGTGTGTTCTAACAGTCGTAGTGTGAATAGGTTCATGTATGCCATCATTCCCAGTACATGCAATAACTCAGCTTCATTAGTGGGAGACTTTCGTATTTTTATGTCCTCTACTTTTGGTGGATCTGGATATAATCCATTTTTATATCTTACAATTTGCACTAATGAATACAAGACCATTTTCTTTCGTAGCTTCCATCAGGTCGGGTAAGTTCTTGTAACGTTCTTTTACATTTTTCCAAATACTGCAACAACAACCGATGGTTCCAGAGAATCTCTCTAGTATTTGGTCCATCTTTTGCTGGAATACATCTTAGCTCATCACCAGTTCAAATAGTATCCTTATAAAGCAGTACCTAATAAGTGGGCTATTGAAACATGTCAAAAGCCGATTATCTTCATCTAGCTTGACGGACCAGTAACAGTATTTTTTTTTTTATGCTTACTGAAATATTTTCCTCCAGTTAGTTTATAAGTTATTTCTTCAAAGGTGGAGACACTATGCTAATATATTATGAATGCTTTGTTGAGATTGTGGTAGATCCTTAGTTTTCCATTACTTTTTGGTTACATGTCAGGCTGCAGAACTATTTTAGGTTTAGGTTTTTGCAATTTTCTTACAATGCTGTCTTTTATCATCTTGTCTAGTTCATTTTTGTCTCCTTTTTATGTGAATTAGGCATTCTCGTGGGCGTGTATGACTGATGCTTCCGCTGGGTACTCTTATTTGCATGGAAAGCGTCTAATTTGATCAAATTCTTTTTACTAGACTTGCATCAGTCTTTCGATAATTCGTATTGCTTTGGTTGTCACCCTTTTTCTCACAGTGTAGTGTTATCATTTTCAGCTTTCGGCAACTTGGCAGTCCTAATATCGCTGGTCCTCAATGAAAAATGTTTCCTCTGGTAAAGGGTAGTGAAACAAAATTGCGTATATGTGCTTGAAAAATCTATGTACAAATATCTAAATGTTGTTTTTGAAACCCACTTAAAACGCTACGATATTGTGTTCCGACCCAGTACTTGTTGAAGGTCCTGGAGGCACTCGTAGGGTAGTAAAGGTTATTGCGTGTGTGTGTGAGAGAGAGAGAGAGAGAGATAGTGAGAGAGAGAGAGAGAGAATGGTGAGGCATGCGCATTGTATATAGGATTACAAAATATTGAAATTGGACATAAAAATGTTATGGTCGCATGCATATGAGTCAGCTGTATTGGTGAAGTCACTTGTGTAATGAAAGATTTTTTTACAGCATTTAAAATGTGGGCCTTTATTATTTAGTGTTGCTATTCTTCAGAAGCAGCTGGCTAGTTTGAAATCGAATATGTTTATTTATATTGATTTTTCCCAATTCACTGCTCTTAAGTATTCAGTATCCCGTTTTTGATTGTCTTTTGGTTGAACTGAAATCATCATATTATATGAAAATCAATATAATGATAATAATTGTAAAATTAATGGTCTTAAAGTCATTAAATTTCGCTCAAACATACACAACATATTTATGTAGAATATTACAAAATCTAAAATCTTACAGAATTATATTTCTGATTGGAAAGAAAATGTGAAAATAATGGTAAACCCCAAGAAAGCATGACTTTCATAATATTCTGTGGAGAGGTTTTACATTTATGGAATCTTTTCTTCAATGAAGAAATAAGAAGAATGCTGTATACCATCTTCATCTCCTCTCTCTCTCTCTCTCTCTCTCTCTCTCTCTCTATCTATCTATCTATCTATCTATCTATCTCTGTATATATATTTTTCTCTTTTTTTCCCTTTTTTTCTCTTCTTTCCTTTTTCCCATATGATTTCCGTTGAGTTGACCGATTAAATATCCTTAACCCTCCCTCCTCAATATTAAGTATTGTAATAAAAATAAAAATAAATTTTAAAACTCTCCCTTCCCTCTCCAAATTCGACCATGCCTCTCACACTATTCTTCACCACCCTTTATGTCACCTTATATAAGCTTAATACTGCCCTTAAAAAGTGTAAATTTTAAATTCATTTTTTTTCACCTTTGAAGTCTGAAGATCCAGAGAAAAATAAAATTATCTGGTGAAATAAATTATAACTAATGGAGCCTTAAAATGGTCTGTTTTTTCTTTAAATTAAATTATATATATATATATATATATATATATATATATATATATATATATATATATTATAAATTAATTGATTTAAAATATGGTTTTTTTCGCTACACAGTTCCAACCATGTTTCAAAAATAGAAGCTAAAACCCCGAATTTAATTTTGCAATTAAATTAAAAGCATTAGTTCCATTTCATCTTCAAGCGAATTTTGGAGTAACTTTTAAAAATTACCGGGTTTTTAAAGACACAGCTAAAATCACGTTTCCATGGTTACAGAATATTCTACTTAAATTGAACAAGGGTGTCTAGATTTTCCTTATGTCAGTATCATTGTATCAGCCAGGTCGGTGTTATTAGCCCAGAATACAATTTGGTAAACTGGCCGGGGTATGGGATGTATTTTTACATTAAAAGGCAATGAAACCTGACATCAGTTGAATGGATGTTTTACAATGTGACTGAATTTAAAAAAAAAAAAATTGTTAACGGTAAAAAATCTTCAACGTCATTTTTTAAATTTAAAGATTTTCGGGTTTTTTTTTTTTTTTTTTTCTAATACTTTTATTTAACTACGATTTGAAATATTCTCCTTTTAATTTTTATTTTACTATATTCTTTTTAAGAACAGTTAAATGTATTAGAATCCATTATATTATGTAGGATTATTTTAATATCAAGTTTAAGTATGTATATGAGGTTACATTTTTTTTTTTTTTTTTTAAATATATGACTATGACGGCAAAAATGGTTACTTAATTTCACTGATTCAGTAAACTTTTATTTTATATATAAACCTAGTATTATAATATTTCTCATGTAAGTACTAAGGACATGGGTCATTCAAAAGCTTACATCTTATGGCATTTCATATTAATTTTATTTTACTATAGGTGTTATTTTTGGATTCTTTTTAGTGCGTGTAGAATTATTTAAAAGAAATTTAGGTTAGAATTCATTCAATTTAACTACAATTTCAAAATTACAACTTTAAAATTTTTAAAATATTTTCATTGTTTAGTTTTAATAGACTATATTACTTTATAACAGAAGGAAAATTACTCATAGTAAGTAAAATTATTTTTCCATATCAAAGTATATGTAAATTACAATTTTTTTTTTTTTTTTTTTTTTTAAATTTTTAAATTTAAATATTATTTAAGTAATATTAATGGCACTTACTACAAAACTAGCTAAGTCATTTCTCAGATTTAGTAAACTTTATTTATTAATTAATTAATTTATTTATTTCAAATATATGTAACCTAAGTAATAAAGTTTCATATGTATGTATAAATAACAGGTTAGAATTCATTTTATTTAACTACAATTTTAATTACAATTTTAAAATTACAACTTTAAAATTTTAAAATATTTTCATTGTTAGTTTTAATAGACTATATTACTTTATAACAGAAGGATAATTACTCATAGTAAGTAAAATTATTTTTCCATATCAAAGTATATGTAAATTACAATTTTTAAACTTTTATATTTAGATATTATTTAAGTAATATTTTTGCCGTCATAGTCATATATTTAAAAAAAAAAAAAAAAAAAATGTAACCTCATATACATACTTAAACTTGATATTAAAATAATCCTACATAATATAATGGATTCTAATACATTTAACTGTTCTTAAAAAAGAATATAGTAAAATAAAAATTAAAAGGAGAATATTTCAAATCGTAGTTAAATAAAAAGTATTAGAAAAAAAAAAAAAACCCGAAAATCTTTAAATTTAAAAATGACGTTGAAGATTTTTTACCGTTAACAATTTTTTTTTAAATTCAGACGACATCCATTCAACTGATGTCAGGTTTCATTGTAAAATACATCCCTACCCCTTACCAAATTGTAGCTAATAACTGATACAATGATACTGACATAAGGAAAATCTAGACACCCCTTGTTCAATTTAAGTAGAATATTCTGTAACCATGGAAACGTGATTTTAGCTGTGTCTTTAAAAACCCGGTAATTTTTAAAAGTTACTCCAAAATTCGCTTGAAGATGAAATGGAACTAATGCTTTTAATTTAATTGCAAAATTAAATTCGGGGTTTTTAGCTTCTATTTTTGAAACATGGTTGGAACTGTGTAGCGAAAAAAAACATATTTTAAATCAATTAATTTATAATATTAATGCTCTGTAAATTTACATTGAGCATTATTTTGTAAAAATAAAAATATCTATAAGAACACCGGATTTTATATCTTACTGTTCTTTCTTTTATTTATATATATATATATATATATATATATATATATATATATATATATATATATATATATATATATATATATGATATATATATATATATATATATATATATATATATATATATATATATATAATACGGGTAATTAATCCATTGGTATATAATCAGGTTGATCCTGGTAATATTAATTATTAAAACTGATCTAAAGAGAGCTCTATGTATTTATTATAACAGAGCATATATATTTTTTACAGCAAAAAAAGAAATATCTCAACATCGGGATAGTCAGGCTGGTCTGTACGCGGCTATCATCAGCCCCTAAGTGTCTGTCCCGAAGCCTTGTTTTAAATTTATTTTCAATGTCATTCCCCACTCCAGTAGATGTCTTGGTAATAAAAAGGGACTTGTGTTAGGGACTGCTAGAGGGTGTAAGGTATCTTATTCCGGGGGAAGCAGTCTGAGTTGGAGTTTATTTATGGCTAGAGCCTTTCGTTGTTTCTAAATATCGGTTCCTGCTATGTGGCGTTTCTTATACGAGCCCCAAGTATGTTTTCCTGGGATTCACAGTAAATAGTTTGTTTTTTTTCTTTTATTTTTTTTCTTTTATTTTTTTTCTTTTATTTTTTCATTTTTTTTTTTTTTACTACAAGGGTCCAATATTATTAAGTGATGGGGGATTTAAACTTAAACCCGTTAAGATTAATGTAAATTAGTTGAATGATAGATTTATAGATTGTGGCTAATACCAGAGCACCCAATGGAATAAATCATGTTGTCCAACGCACTTATATGCATACATATCTTCACACATACATATATGTACATTTACGTATACATACATATGTGCCACTATACGCACACATACACTCCCACATATATACATGTATTCTTATGTAATTTTGAATCTATTTTTACGTCTATATTTTGTGATTAGTTCTCTCCGTTGATTTAATAGTTTGCATTGATCTTTATATTTAATAAAATATAAAGATCAATGCAAACTATTCTCCTGATTTTTTCTTCTAAACATAGCCTGCACCTATCCCTAAAACTGTTGGGGGTGTTCGCGAAGCCTAAAGTTATCCAATTTATTTGAGGATTCAGACCTTTTTCCTTCAGTTCCCCAATTTTTTTCAAAAGAGCTGTTTGGTGTTTTAATTTTGGATTGGTGAATGAATGGCTATATATATTGAGTCTCTTTTTAAATTCTCCTGCAGAAATGCTGATGTAAATATTATGGTTTGTCGTATTTTCTTTAAGGGTAATGGTTACTCTAGTAGATCTGCATTTGCCCCCTACTAAGTAATTTTTCCTAAATCTAACATGGAAACTCCCTGTAATTGTAGAATTCCATTGGGTGCTCTGATATTATCCACAATCTATAAATCTATCATTCAATTAATTTACATTAATCTTAACGGGTTTAAGTTTAAATCCACCATCACTTATTAATAATAATGGACCCTTGTAGTAAAAAAAAAACTAAAAACAAAAAAAATATTTACTGCGAATCCCAGGAAAACAAACTTGGGGCTCGTATAAGAAACGTCACATAGTAGGAACCGATATTTAGCTATAAACAACGAAAGGCTGTAGTCATCAATAAACTCCAACCCAGACCGCTTCCCCGGAATAAGATACCTTACGCCCTCTAGCAGCCGCAAGCACAAACCCCTTCTCATTACCAAGGCGTCTACCAAAGGAGGACTGACATTGAAAATAAATTTAAAACAATGCTTCGAAACAGACACTTAACTATCCCCATGTTAAGGTAAATTTTTGTTTGTTTTTTTTTTTTTGTTTGTTTTTTGCTGTCAGTATGTCACTGTATCACACTTTTTCAATTAAAGGCCTACAGTTCTCTAACTTTCAATATCTCATGTTACAGAAATTTTGTATTCCCAAGTTTTCATTACTGCGATCGTTTTCGGCGATTTTTACGTGATTTTTTGTGATGAATTTTTTGTACGATAACAATTTTTATAACTTAGAAATAAATTTGAGAATAATCAAAATTAATTACGAAATACGATGAAATTCGCTCATGAAATAAAAATAATTATTTGTACTAAAAGTAAGGACCTACGCACATCAAATTATCTTTAAATTTAGTAGCAGCAGAAGAATTATAGTTGAAATTTTAAAAGGTAAGCTTAAATAATAATGCAATGCTTAAATGCAGCGATCAATTTTGAATTCTTCTGTAAGTCATTGTTGCCTATTGAATAAGGCAACACTATGCCTCGCAAAAAGAAATCTTCGCCAATTGAGGACCAGAGTGCAATTTATTTATTTATAAAATTATTTAAAATTTACAACCATGCAGAATAACTTTAAAAATTTTATAAACATTTGAACTCGCTTTCAAATAAGTTCCACTTTTTTTTTATTAACAGAAATGACATCATTTCTGGATAGAGTGCATTTAATGTTGTATTTTTTGGAAAAATATTTTTCACTGCAATCAATAAAATCAAATAGGAATAAATATTCCAATTAATCCTACTTCTGTTATATGGAACATTTGATTAATACAACAATATGCACAGGTGCAACTCAATGCCAAGGATTTCCTCCATCGAGAATAACAAAACTGCCATATCTGCTTTTTTACTGAGACCAACCTGGCAAGTGACTTAAAATCACAATCAAGAAACCCTCTTCTTGTTTTCGTCCACCTTGTCACAATGGCCCGCATACAAGCATATAACCAGTTTAACTAATTATTAATTTTAAAGATACTATACCGCTTCACAAATCTTTTTTCTCTGCTGGTACTCACCTTTTTGATTCGCTTGAGAAATCTGACTCTTAGGTATGGCAACATCGCGTCTCCATCGAAAACAATGAGCAAGAATCAGACGGGCAGCATTTTTGTCACACGCTTTAAATCTGTGCGCACTGGACAACATACAACATAGTAGGAAGGCTGTTATTGTTGTTGTCCACAGCCGCAAGGATAACGTCGCCATCTACAAAAGTTGGAAATACTGTTGTTGTCAACCATTCAAGTTACGCGATACAAATAATAATACTAAGAATATGCAGTTAGCTTTAAAACATGTCAACAATATCTCAATAGAGTAAATTAAATCCGAATAGCGAAAACCTACCAGAACAAAAGTAACACTAGGCAGATAGACTTTCAGTAAGACGGCTACATTTAAAACTTTAAATGATTCAATAATTACAAAATAAGGAAAAACAGAATGACCACTAATATTAAGAAAAAACAAACAACGAAGTTTTAAAATTCAAATAAATCAATAAATATTCCACTTAATCCTGCTTTATTTATTTCTTTTTTTAATTTTTTTTTATTTTTGAACATTTGATTAAGACAACAACATGCAACCCAATGGCAAAGAATTTTCTTCATCGGGAATAAGAAAACATTTGGGATTTGTTTTTAGTAATGTCTGTTTTGAATCGTTGTTCAGACAGATACCTCAAAAATAGTTTTGAAATGCATTTTAAAAATAAAAGAATTCTTGAAGTTTTTATTTTAGTCTTAATTCCAAGCTAATAGATTAAATTTAATATTTCCAGTAAGCAATATATTTCGTTGTATTTCAAATTGAATTTAAATTGATTGGAATAATTTTTCTGATTTTCAGTAAAATTGATAAAATTGTTCATATTCACAAATACGTCAACACAACATAATTCTCTTTATTAAAAAATCTTTCAAAAATAAAATATACTTTTCTGTAACGTTATTTGAGAAAATTAGCAAATTTCAAGAAACAAATATGAATTGAAACAAATATAATTTACTTTTTGTTTAAAATATCGCAGAAAAGCTATTTTTGTTTGGTTTTTACATGAAGGTATTGACACATTTACCCACAGCCTGATATTTGGGAAAATTATCTAAGGGATAGATAATCGTAATAAATGTGATGAAACGGGCCGCTGCTGAATTCACTGCTGGTTCTCCCCTACGAGAGGTATCACGGAACTTCAACATCGACCGTTTCACACTACGTCGCTTCATTGTGAGTCAAGAGATAAAGCAGATGAAGACATCATAACTGGATATGACAGACTGTCAAAATTAAAATGTGTGTTCCCACTGCAAATGGAGAATGACCTGGCACGGCACATAACACACTTGTCCAACCAATTTCATGGTCTGAGTGTAGAGAAATGTTGGGCACTTGTCTTCGAGTTTGCAAAAAAGAATGCCATTCTGGTTCTGGCCAACTGGTAAAGACTGGTTCTACTCATTTAAAGGTAGGCACAAATTAGCCGTTAGAGCACCAGAACCTACGTCTCTTGCTCGGGCGACTGCTTTCAACCGCCACAATGTAGACCAGTTCTACAATAATTTGGCAGCAGTTATGGACAGATTCAAGTTCTCTGCAAGTGATATTTGGAATCTCGGTGAAACTGGCTGCACCACTGTGCAAAATCCTGGAAAAGTTGTCACAGAGAAAGGAAAAAAGCAAGTTGCATCTCTGACCAGTGCAGAACGTGGTGAATTAGTGACACTGGAATATTGTGTGAATGCTGTAGGGAACGTGATTCCACCATTGTTTGTGTTTCCACGGGTGAAGTTTCGGGAACATTTCTTGAATGGTGCGCCTGCTGGATGTAGATTATATGCTACATTTCATTCAACACAATCGTTGCACGAAAGAAAGACCAGTGCTGCTAATTCTGGATAATGTGGAAGCACATATCACGATCAAGACAATTGACCTTGCACGTGAGAATGGCGTTGTTCTGCTCACACTTCCTCCCCACACATCCTACCGATTACAACCTCTTGATAGAGCCGTCTACGGTCCCTTTAAGAAGGCCTACAATGCGGCAATGGACAGGTGGATTCGCTCTCATCCTGGGAGAACAGTTACCATCTACGACATTCCCACCATTGTTTCTGAAGCTCAGCTCTGTGCCATGTTACAACGCAATATCAAGGCAGGATTTGCAGCCACTGGCATCTATCCCTACAATAAGGATATATTCATGGATGCTGATTTTGCTTCAGCTGCAGTTACTGACCGTCAAAATCCTGAAGCAAATGCAGATGCTGCAGATCTGGATCCAATTCCTGGTCCAAGCTCAGGTGCTGTGGGTTCATCGCCGATCCCAAGACCTAGTTCTTGTGGCATGGGCCAACAGCCTGTTTCCAGTTCTTGTGAATACGTCTCGCCATCAGCAATCTATCCTTTCCCAAGAGCTGAACCAAGAAAAACAAAAGGGGGAAGAAAGAAAAGGGCAACCAAAATACTGACTGACACACCAGTCCGAGATGAATTGGCAGCAGAAAAAGCAAAGGTTAAACCCACCAAAGACATAAAAAAGAAACTGTTTAGGCAAACATCCCAAAAGACAACAGCCAATGTCACCTCAGATGACGACAGCGATGATGAAGACTGTGAGTCCATGGCCATGAACGATTCTGATGACGACGATGTATCGGATGACGAACTAAGAGGTGATTTCATGGTAGTCAGCGTCAATGGCAAGAAAACCACACGTCGATACATCGCCAGAGTCAATGTAATTGATGGTGATGAACTCGAGGGTGTCTTCTTGAAGAGAATCCTAGGCCGAAAACCCATGGACGGCAGACAGGCCTTCATTATCGACCCCGATGATGAAGTATCATTAGATAGACAAGATATTGTAAAAAAAAAAACTACCGGCGCCAAACAACTTGTTGGGGAGTGAACGCAAATCCAACCAATGGGTCTTCCCCTGTGACCTGGAAAAATTCAATCTTTCATAGACTGGAATGTGACAGTATTGCCATGGTCGTTGCTGTTGTTTGTTTTTTTACAAGTGTACAACTGGATGCCACAATTGGACAGTAAAGTTGCAGGTCTATGCTTTTTTTCTGAAACCATTTTGTCCTTTCTTTTCAGTTTTTTCTAGAAATATCTTTTTTCTCCCCCTCAACCTCAAAGGGTGGTTCAACTTACCCAATATGTGGGGTAAATTGAACCTTTCTAACACCATTTTTCAAGTGCTTTAAAAATGTGGAAGACATATTATGAAACATCCAAATTGTAGATGGTCAAAGGTAAATGACAAGTGCTCAATTTAACACCAGCATAGACTGGATGACATTACCACGGGAGACACCAGGTCAAAAAATCTAAAAAGTGCTTCATCTTACCCCATCCTCCCCTTATAACAAAGATTTTTACGTTTTTATTAAGTTTTGGGTATCTTTTTATCAGGTATGCTCATTTTATAATGAATCTTTGGAGGTACATACTTTTAAGTAATACCTAATCAAACATTTTCTGGTAGACTATTCAAAAAAATAATTTTTTAAGTCCAAACGTTCAGTCACTAAAATACGCAAAATGTAATCTTTTATAAGTAAAATAATTGCATCCATATTTTTTTAAATTATCCAAAGATCAAACGAAAATACACGGAAAATATTATAATAATTCTTGTTTTGAAAGCGTTTTACAATCTAAATTTAAGACTTTATGCAATTATATTAGAGGACGGTTTCTCATAATCGTTGTCCAAGTAAAACATTAACATTATATAATTATTTAATTAAGGAAAATTTACATATTTAGATATTAATCACAAAGGAACAAATTCATCTTGAAATTCAAATAGCCATATTTATTTATTTGGAAATTATTTTATATATCTTTCAAATGATACTTTCGAATATCCATTTGTAGATGTATCCAAACTGAAAAAACGTTCGAATCTGAATATTATTTAAACTTTTGATATTTTTATAAATGTCTTGTAATGCCGGCGCACCTTAAAATGAGTTACTTTTCAAATTTCTGTTATTTGTTTGTTTTTTTCTGAAGATGCAGTTATTTTAAGTTTCAAGAGTTAGTTGAAAGTTTTTAGTATTTTTCCTTAGCGATCCGTTAGTTCAGCTGCATCTCCTGCCAAATTCGTTGTTTACTCGAAAATTTATTGCCCCTCATTATGCCTCTTTTTATGATTATTTTATTGTTTTTATTTTATTCTGTTGTATATATATATATATATATATATATATATATATATATATATATATATATATATATATATGTATGTATATATATATATATATATATATATATATATATTAGATAAAAAAACATTCGATAAAAATGAGCATATATGATAAAAAGATGTTCAAAATTTAATAAAAACATATTGTTATCGCAAAATTTTTGTGTTGTTATTGAAAGGAAAGGAAAAATCAAGGTCTTTTTTTTATGTCAAAGTTTTTTAATCTTTTTTCGAACCTACAAAATTTTGGTTAAAAACTTTGTTTTTTGGCGTCAAAGGGGGAACAAAAATTAGTATGGTACATTTGAGCGTCTGTTTGCGGTGAAAAGACATTGATTAGAAATTCTAGCAACAATCACATAATTGTCGGATTTTAATGAAACTTTCAGTACTTATCCAGAAATTAATGAAATTGATTTTAGTTAGAAAAATCTACTCTGAATCGTAAAATGTAAAATTCAATAAAACAAAGATATTATTTAATTAGAAAAGCTTTTAATTGGTTTTATGAATAAAATATATTATGGACACTGTTGTCTTACAAAAGAAAATCAATGAATAATGAATTTTTGCAAGAATTGTTTTAATTTTAATTAGAACAATTTACAATCTTTTAAATCTTTTAAAATTCTATAATAATTTGTAGCAGTCAATTGATATTGTTATTAAATAAAAACTGTATTTACTAACCATAAATGGAAAAGATTACTATAATTCATCGACCCCATTCTTCTAAAAAGAATATGAGAATGCTTTTGAATTTTAAAGATTATGGGGTATTTTTTTACATTATAAAAAAAAACGTTCTTAATTAAGTTGTATTCGACATGTAATTTTATAATAGTTATTGTCTCTGTAGATAAATTTCCCAAACATCAGATTGTTGATGAATATATCAACACTTCATAAAAACACCGACCTCCGTATTAAAAAATGCCTTCCCCTGATATTTTATCAAGAATCTTTAAATATATAGCAGGACCATATGTGCCAGCAATATTCTAAACATGGACAAATAGTAGAAACAGATATGCATGACAGATTCTGGAAAAAAAAATTTCTAGAACGACACAGTGAACCAACTTTCTTAGCAGCTGACCTAGTAATGGACCATGTCAACCGAGTATGTTAGCCAGAAAAGCCACATCGACGCTGATGGAAAGCAAAAAGAGGTCTCTCAGATGATTAATAGAGAGCAGTTTTATTTTGGAAATGTTAAAATTAACAAGCCATTCTTTACCCTAGTTAACTGATGGTTGTTTTGACATCAGCCGCCAATTTGACCTTATCGAACTGATCAGACTTACTATCGATGCCATCGGGAAGGTCATTAATGAAAATCAAAAACAAAGTAGCGTTAAGTATAGAGCCCTGAGGGACACCTGTATTAACACGAAAGAATCTAAAAGATCATTCAGGATAACTTTTTTTTCGCGATGTTATATGAAAGACTGAATCAATACAAAAATGTTTCCGGAGAAACCGTAACTTTTCAACTGAAGAAGACCTCTATACCAAACTCTGTCGAACGCTTTCAAGGTGTCGAAAGCACCATTCTTATCTGAAGTTTGCTAAACTCTTTCCGAAGAATCGTCAATACATCAGCAGTTGATCTAGAGTAACTAAAGATATATTGCATGTCTGAAGAAGGCCCTGTGATATGAGGTGCTTAATTAATTCAGCATTGATTAGCGTCTCTAGTAGTTTACCAAAAAGATAATGATAGGCTGATAGTTAGAAGGGTCGGTCGGTTCACCTGACTTCTTAAAAGCTGAAACTTTTTTCCAAAAAGCAGGAAAGCAAGAGGCGACGAGGCATTTATTACACAGTTTTGAGAGAACAGGAGCCAGTTCGGAAGCGTACTTCCTAATGACTATTATAGGGATACCATCAGGTCCACATGCTTTGTGGGGATCCAGATTAGGGATGATAGCAGATACAATAGAAGGAGACTCAGTTCTAAATGGAAAGTTAGGCAAGGATACTCCAGATGAGTCAAGAGTAGAGTTTAAAGATAATTTACGGATGAAACATTCTTCTTTATCAGCACAAGACGTTAACGTCTCAAATTGATTGAAGAGAGGAGAAATAGAACACTTACTCTTATTTAATACACTGTTACAGAGCCGCCAGTAATCACGAGAGCCAAAGTTGTTAGATGCAATACAGTGCCTCATTATCTCAGCAAAATCACCAAACACAAAGATGTTCGCAAGTGGTTGAAAGAGACTTGTTTCTATACTGTCAGAAATGTTGTCTAATATGCAGCAGTCCTGAGAAAAAGGGGAGCGATAAAAGAAAAAGAGGTATCTAACAGAATGTAGTAATGAAAGTCGAAACCACATGAAAGAATTATCTATGGACTCGAGTGACAATTCCCTTGTCATTGGAAGATTATCATGGGTGTAAACACCAAGGTCCTGCATTATGGAATCTTTTGAGCAGAGAAGATAGCCTGGAACAGAGAATTTATTGGCAGAAGTGTAAGAATTTAAATTGATTTCACAATGTACAAAGATATCTGGCGACGTACCAAGAGAAAATATTCTACACCGCAGAAATTGCAACGGATACCAATGAATATTGAAGAAAGAAAGAAAGATTGATGCGAGTACGTGTCTTTTTTTTTTCTTTTTCTTATTTCTTTTTGTTTTTTGTTTTGTTTGTTTTTTGTTTTTTTTTTACTGGTTGTTTTCTCGTATTTCTTTTCATTGTTTTTGCCATGAGATTTGATTTGAGGAGAAAAAGAAAAGTAAAATTGCCAAGATAATTATCACTGTTTGTCGTCAATGGCAATACAAACCAGCCAGAATTTGGCTTGAGACCAAAGCATAATATGGCCTCAGGGTTGTCTACAGGAAATACATGAATGTACACCAACCTATATGCGACATGGCACTACAAATACCCCGATATTATGCAACTGTTGATCAGAGTAGCCTAAGCGCTACCAAAGAGTTCGGGCTCCTATCGACCAGTTGGATACAGCAGCCAGCGAACTGCCAACCTGGTACCCTCATAATCGAAAGTCGCATCCACTGATTAGTCTGATCACGAAAAACTTAAGACAGTTAAATCATTGTGGCCATGGAAGAAAGAATGCCTTTTATGTACGAAAAGTCAAATATAATGTTTGAATTAATAAAAAAAAATCGGATTAGGTTATTAAATCGGTGACGTTTCTTATAAAGGAGGGTGCATTTTCGATACCAACCGAAGAACATTTTCTTTACTAAGATTTCTCGAAAGCGCAGACGGTTACATGTAATACGTAATGTTTAGTAAATAAAAATGAGGCGTCTATTTCAAAAACTACTAACTGAGTTTCTATTTGATATGCAACTTGATAATTTTTCTTTTAGGCTTCCTTACCTTAAATTTATGAACATCAGCCTTTGTTATGAACTAACGATAAAACACACAAATGTACGCGACATTTTTGTTTATGAAATAACAATATAATTTTTCTGTCTGTAATTAAGTGAATAATCGAAACAGTAGTTGTTATTTGTTTATATTAGTTTGGCGCAAGGTCAAGAGTATGGGGTCCCCGTTGAAATTGAAATCACTACAGTAGTAATAATCAATGAGACTAGCTCGATAACTACTACCCCACGTCGAAATGGCCGGCTTTAAAACAGTAGAACCCTGGTTGTTACTGTTATTTGTTTTTTGTGGAAGGGGGGTGT